CAAAAGGAAGTCTTTCCTCTTTTGTCCATGTCAGCACTTTTATAGATTCTTATATCTCTTAGTGGTACAGGCATCACACCATATAATTTGGTTGGTCATTATGTTTCTTCCCTCAAATGTCATTGATTATAATTGCTTTGGATTTTCATTGGTTGTTGGTTATATCCTGTCAATTAAAATGGATACTAAATTGATGGATTAGACCAAAACATTACTTATTAGTTTGATTGTGTTTTTTTTCTTAATTGGCTCTCTCACATCTGGACTCTCTTATTAGTAACCAAATAATAAATTTGCCTTTTCCAAATATTCTGTTCTTGGAAGCAAACACCCATAATTGGATTGCTTGGGTCATATATATCTGTGATCTAGAGTCTCTGAAGCCCTCTCTTTAAAAATAAAAATTAGAAATAAAATTAATTATAATTCTATAAGACACAAAATAAAGCAAAATATAATTAAAAGTTCATATGCATTGATTCCCACTGATACATTGCAAAGCTAATCAAAGCTAATGGTAATTTGCAAATTTACTGAAGCTAGATCAGATCACACTTGTGCCACTTGCATTTTATTTAAATGAAACTTGTTTCACTGCATTAGAATACTACATTACAACAGAGCTCAGTTAAAAAAAAAAAAGGAGGAATATCACAATAATCAGCAGTGAAAATCCTTTCTAACAGGAAGCTAAGTCTGAATAAGTTCTAGGAAGTTAAATTCCTCCATGATTAAATAGGAGTGATATAAACAAAGGTAAGTTTCATTAGTTTTAATTACTCCTTTTAAATATGAGAAAATGCAAGTGCATTATCTTTATTCTTTCAGATTTCAAAGTAGCTTTCAACCATGTAAAATATCTTTGTGATTCATGTCCATCAAATCTTTCCATGAATGTAAGTTGCAGGCCAGCTTTTATTTTTGCTGTTTATATCCTTAGAGCTGAATAGAAATGGATTCTTTATGGATTCATTGAGACAATGTTTGACTCGTAGTGTAAATCCTCAAAGAAAGACTTTCAGGTCCATATAAAGCAATATTTAGTTCAAGCCATGGCTCCAGGCAATCCTTTCTAGCCTGGAGTTCTGCTGATTCAGGATTCATTCAATTCAGGTTCTGACAAATTCTGTCCACCAATAGATATGATCTTTTATTTAAGCATCCTTAAAAGTAAGTGAAGTTCAAATGAAGTTCAGTCTTCATTTGATCCTGGTGCCAGCATTTTTCACAGAGCATCCCAAAGTGACCAAAATAACCCCTTTGAATGGTGTGATCTTGTAGCATCATTCAAACGATCACTGCCCATTGAAAACCACACCCATGAAATTAAATCTCTATCAAGCTTCTCCACCACAGTGGCTTGTAAAGCAGACACCCTACCTGCTTTAGCATTTACTTCTAATTGCACATCTGAAATGGCTGACATTTCAGGGCAGTGTCTTAAGTTCTTTAATAAGGACTTGGGCACCACAGTACCATGCTCTTTACAGTCACACGAAGAATAAAACCTGAACATGGTCTCCTTTCATGCTTGTAGCTTTTGTAGATTGAGTTTAAGTCACAGTTGACTAGAAAGCTTGACCTCCAAATGCTGCTATCTGAATTTAAAGTGAGGATATGCAGCCTCTAAGTATGGTTAGTCCTGCTAGGCAGAAAAGGAACTATCTTTATATGAGTTAATTCAGCCAAAATACATTTTATAAATGTATTGGACATCTCATGTGTTAACTCTAACGCACTGGCAGTGTAAAATGGTGGAAGGTATATATATTTGTTCCAGGTTGTCCCATTGTGGTAGTTATGTAGATACTGTATGGTATTGGGAAAAGAAAAAAGATTCAGAGATTTTATAATGTTGAGCTATGTACCAAAATTTTGGAATTTAATGATATCCAAAGAATTTTGGATTTATTATACAAGGACTCTGGTTTTAAAAAAAAATCTATCACCTTCAGTGGAAAGAATCTGTTATAAAACATGGGTTTTGAAATGTGTTTGCTTTCCACATATAAGTTTGTTTTGTATCAATGTAGAGGAAAGTCTGAAAAATACTTTGCTCAGGTAGTCAAGATTTGCTCTGTTGTTTAAAAAATGAGTTAATGTCATATATTTATATCTATCATGCTCTCTCAATTCTTTTTTCTTTTTCCTTGATTACTTAGTTTTTGTTGTGTTTTAATTTTAATTTTATTTTTCCTTGTGTGTATTATAAACAATAACAATTATTTTTTTTGAAAAAGGGGACATATTAATGGTAGACTTAGCAAAAGTAATCAAGATGAATGAAACAGTAAGTATCCTTACTTGTTAAAAATGAGATAGAAAGGGAATGAATTATGTGCCAAGTATTAACAGAGTGTCTTAAAGGAAATAAAGTCCTGACAGAGTCTGCTTTGAAACAGAACCTGCATTTGAAGCAAGTTCTCCAACAGAAAATAATACCTGATACATGAATCAGAACAATCACAGTTTAGCCCTGATTTCCACTGACATAATTCAAAGAACATCTCTCTTCTTCAAACATTTCCATATATAAGAGCTAATGTGATGCAGTGATTAATATGTTAGTCTACATCTTCAAGTCCACCTTCAGCAACAAAAACTCACTGGGTGATTTTGGGCCAGTCACTCTCTCACACCTCATGCTGCCTCACAGGGTGATAGTTGTTAGGAAAAATTGGAGGATGAACTACTATATACATCATTTTGAGCTACTAAATGAAAGGCAGCATATACATCTAATAAACAAAATGTTTCAAATGCCTGAAAAGGGATCCTCCCTTTGCAGGAGTCATTCTTGCTTTCATAGATGTATTTAATGTTTCTGCAGAGGGAATGGCCTTGAAGGACAGGAGGAAGAGCTGTTACCAAGGCAATGGTCAGATAAGAGAGGCTTGAGCCTAGGCCAAGAAACAAACTTGAGTAAATGTCTCATATAAGCCCCTCCCTAATTCACATGAAGATAAAGTGAGGGAGGGGGAAGCACATTCAGATTTGCAAGTTTCAGTTACTATAGCTGTTACAATAAAAGTAGTTCTGATCTATATGGCTTTGGTTTATTAGTCTGGTCTATCTTGTGGGGCTCACAGTTCCTAACTGGGACTACAGCAGCAGTAAGCTATAGCCTATAGTTAGCTCTATATGAAGGGGCACATGATTTCAGGAAAAAATAAGCAGCCTTCCTGGATAAGCTCTTGGCCACCACCAACTGAGTTACTAGAATCTTTCAAGTTACCTGTTGAAGACAGGTCCTGTGGTTCTGACATGCTGTATTGGGGCCACAGATGTGCAAAATTAATTTCCAGTCCACATTAATTGTGCAAAACATTGAAGTATAACAACGGCATTCTTGAACTTTAGTTGCAAAAAATGATATTGGCCTAAAAATCAATTTGGTGCATGGGATTGACAGCAATGTGCATTCTTAAGATAGAAGCTGTTGACCAAGCATCATGCTTGGTATGATAACAAAAGAAAATTGTGCCCTGATTCTAAATGAATCCAAGCAGTATAACCTTTTCTCCTTCCCAAGTTCACTTGCTACTTTTTGATGCTGGACTCTGTCCTTTGTCTTTTCTTCATTAGCCTGACGTTACCAGGTGATAATGTATCCATGTAGTGTGAAAAGCTGTGAAACACAGACACTTGCAATGCATACCAAGCTGATGACAGAAGCATAAGAGAAATCTAGGCTGCACTTTCTCTGTGTGCAGAACACATACCCCGACTAGCTGTTATGGTCTTCCGAAGATATTGTTTACTAGCACCTATTGTCATTATCAAGATTATACAATGTCAGCTGAATTCAGTTTGGCATATATTGAACTGAATTCATGTGCTAATCAGTGGCTTGTTTTGTGAAGCAAGAGAAAAGTGTAATTATCTAGCAGTGAAGATAACGAATATGAAAACAAAAGGGTTTTTAGATAGGTGGCAAGTACAATACTAATATTTTAACAAAAGCAGCCTTGTATTCATTCCTAGGCATAATAGGACTGCTGCGATTTCTGTTGTATTAGAACTCTGCAACACACACATGCACGCACATATACTGCCCGTGCATTTTTAAACTTTTTACATTTTACCTGTTGAATAGCTAGACGTATCCTGCTTTTTAGTCTTTGATTAAATATATTTCAGATACATAAAATCCTGGAGATGTCTGCCTTGATAGAAACTTCAGGAATGCGCAGAAGCTTAAGAACTATAAGTATCGCCCATATTTAAAGGCTATTTAGAGGCTACGTTCCAAACAGGTACCAGAAAGAGCTCTGAATCAAGGCTACCACAGAGATAACATTTGAAGATTGCTAATCACATAGATTGCTGGATTCTTTCCACCAAATCAGAGATAAGGGATGAACCACGATTTGGTGGTAAAGCATATGCTTTGCACACACACACACACACACACACACACAAAACCTCACAGTTTCAGATCTAAGCTTCTTTAATTTTAAAAAAAGACCAAAACAAAAACTATTAGCAGATGGGAAAGATGACTGCCACAGATGGAGGGAAGTTGTTGCCAGTTATATTAATCAATATTGGCCCAGCTAGATGGACAAATAATCTGACCTGGTATAAGGCAGTTTCCTATAGATCCTCTGGCAAATGCTCCACTTCTGGTGTTAGTCTGGAGAAAAACAAGTTCCTCTTTAAGGAGAAGGTGTAATTCAAACCGCTTTTGAATTTGTTTATTCTGCTCTTCATCCCCCAGTTATTTTCTTCAGTGCTCTGTACAATGTGATTGGATTTACTTTGGGATGGGATCTTTTTTGGTATATTTACTAATATGTAAAGCTACAGGCTGAGGGAGTATTTCTCAGCCCCGTCCTCTGAGTAGCTGCTCTGCTACAGTTCTTCATGACTCTCAATTGGGCTTTATTGGGTTTAGTACTTTTGATCAACCCTGTGCCCCAAAATTTTGAGGTGAAAGTACTGGTCATATAATTCTGGGGAATAGCAATGAGAATCTCTTGTATTTTTCCCTACTTCAGCATGCAGCACATGACAGAAGACAAGGTTTCTGCAAGTATCAGTGGACTCCAAAGAGAGGTAAGAAAAACCTCTTAGCATAGCAGAGAAAATTGTCCCAGTCTTATTGAATATGAAAAAGGAATGGGGAAGCCTCATATTATAGAACTTGTACATCTTTGCTTCTATCTAGCTGGCCATGTTGAGCTCAGCAGAATGTTTCCAGTAAAGCATTATTCTGACTCATTTGTGCCTGAGTGTGGACCAGGATACTGCGTATACCTCCTAGTTGGTAGAAATGGGTGATAGTACAAGTTGACATACAAGGTGGTCTCTAATGTAGAGATCTTAGCTGGCATAGAATAACATGAGCAGGCTGGGCTTTGACTGTACTTATAGCATCCTGGCCAAAATGTGACAGAATAACTAGTACAGTCCATACCAGACTGTCAGAACTAGTAATATTTTATTTATTTATTTATTTATTTATTTATTTATTTATTTATTTATTTATCTATCAAACCTGTCACTGCCCATCTCGTTAAAATGTGACTTTACACCCACACACACACACGATGACAGTAAAACTGTATAAAAAGAGAGATTAATCTTGAATGCTATAAATATTAGTGTCCAAGAAAGAATTGATGAAAAGGAAATCATAAATGCTCTGAGAACATTGAAAAATGGTAAGGCAGCGGATGCAGATGGTGTCACTGGACAAATGTTAAAATAGAAGTGTGGTTTGCTAATGGAGTGCCAATGTAACTTGTTTAACATGTTTGTGAAAATTATATATGGGCCTGATTATGGAAAGAATGCCCTTATTGCTTCCCACATACAAAGGGGAATAAAACAGCCCTGAATGTGAAAGATAGCTCCGATATGGTACCCAAAAGCAAAATGTGCTCTTGGCTTATCTATAAGCATTTATAGCACAGACACACACAGACACACACACACACTTATATATTGTGCTTCACATATCCAGGGCTGAGAGGATCAGAAAGAAAGGGCTCATTTCCTACGAAAGGGGTGGTGATGCAAACATAATTGGTATAATTTTTTCCTCCTTGCTGGAGTAGAGTTTCACACCTACTTTCTAAAAATGCATTATAGTATTAATGTTGGCTCACAGAAAAGCTAATGATCTGAACACAAGTCAGTATTTGTGGAGATCTTTAATGATACACTTCCAAAGCTTTGTGAGCGTGCAGCAAACTTTTATATCAGAACCTAAGAGTATGTCACTCCTATGGCATAATTGAAACCAATTGCCAAAGATCCTCTTTTTCACGTGCATAAATCACATCCTGGATTTTCTTTTCTTTTGCAGAGTGCTACTCAACCCGAATATTTTGAACCCGAATAATGAAATGATTAGCTGAGAATAGCTAGTTTCAACATATCAACTTGCATAGGAATACGCCGCTGTAATAATAAAGCATCAAGGTGTTGAACCAGAAATCTGATGGCCTGGATTATAGTGAAGCAGCTACAGCTGACTTGTCACAAAAGATGGAACAATTTTATTTTTCCCAGGCTCTGCCTCAGACAGCTCATTGGTTCTGCCATGGTTTGCTCTTTTCATAGACTCACTTTCCTTTTGGAAGACTTTCTTCTGTGTCTGAATATTCTGTTTCAGGCTATCTTTTATGGATGATGTCCTAAAGCGCTATAGCTTTTTTGCAACACTCTTCACAAATATTGCAGGTAACCTTCTTGATCTGCCTCTGCTCCAGAGTGAATATAATGGTGGATGAATATGTTTGCTCATGCACGGGTCTATGCTCATATTATGGCTTTGTGGGGAAAGATGTCATGTTCTGGAAATCAGCACTTTCTTCAAATATATCAGAGTACATAGTTAGATATCTCATGAGCTCCAAACTAATTCTTCAATCTGCCCTTGATTGTAACATTTCAATATTTTTCTAATACAACCTCCAGTAAGCTCTCAAGTTCACCTAATGATCACCAAAGCAGAAAATTTCATATCAGTTCAATCAGAAAAGTATACATAATATAGGAGGTGCATTAAGTCTTTGTGACTCTGTAGAATACTTAAATCTAATGTAAAATTAATTCAAAGTGTTCCAGCAATGAGGAAAGGAGATATTTTATTTATTAAAATGGTATTTATGATATTATCCTTCCTTTTCTTTTTAACAGCAAATACTTCTGTCACAGTTTTCTAAATAAATGGGCTATGATCTTACAATGTAACATTTTAAATGCTGAATGTTTTGTTTTGTAGTTATATAATCCATACATTTCTATGCCAAATTAAGGTCATTTATCATGAATTTCTTGGGCTCCTCTTTGCCTCAAAAATACTTAGGATGTTATCTCACTTGTGATAGTACACCAGAAGACAAAATGGACAGATCACTAACACCAAACCATAGGAAAGCCATAACATTCAGGTATCAAAACCTCTGCCAGTTAAGTTGGATGAAGGTTCCAATCCAGTAATTTTTGCCTTAATGGATATTTATGTAGATATCTAATGGCATCTAACCCTCTAGGAAATTGGGAAAGAGGGGAGAATCTAATGGGATCTCCAATCACCCTGCTCAGATGTTTGCTTCATGTGAAGAAGCTTCAAATTTGGTTTAAGTACATATCAGTGCATGTTGCCTTCATCATTGATAATCCTCTTGCATGCACCCTTCTCACTCATTTTCAGATTTTCCCATTTTGAGCAGCAGAAGAAAGTCACACATTTAAACATATGTACATCTCTTCTCACAGTTGGAGATGCAACTTTCTCAGGGGTTTGTAGTTATGAGGGAAAGTTCTGCTTGTATTCAGACATGTGCAAATAGAACTCTCTTCTGTTCTTCAGCAAAGCCTTAAAGTGCAAATAGCCATGTAGCTTGCACTGTGGAGATGGTCCCAGAATCTACTTCTAAGCCTTCAAGCAATGAACGAATGTATCAGTTAAAGACAAAGAATGCTGGCAGGCAAATATAAAACCCAGCCTGTTGGGGGTTTTTTAGGGCTGGGCCAAGCTTCAGTATAAAGGTGACTTGATCTGATCCCATTCCTTTAATCAGTTCAGCATGTGGAATCAAATTCAGATCAATTGAATTTCATGGATTTTTGTGCATGCTCTCAGCCCTTCTCTGAAACTGAATAAACAGTTCAAATTGAAATGTCTAAGTTCAACCATCTTGACCATCTCATTGATTCTGATCAAACGGATGATTCAAATCAAACTGAAAATTTGAATCAAACTGACTTATCAGATCAGTGATTCAAATTGGGTATTGGGTGATCTGCATAAGCTCCTGTTTCGTTCCTAGTTTTGGATATTTTTTTTAAAGGTAGAGAAGCAACAAGACCAGTAGGAAAATGAAATCAGTAAGCTCTGACATCATTAGTATTTACCTAAACACTATGAGAATGTGATGTTTATGAATGCTACACTTTTGTGATTTGGCCCAAGGCAGATTTTCTTTACAAAGTCCTAGAATCTGTTGAAAATCACAAATGCTTAATTAGTCCCTGAATTTCAAATAGCTATTTTGAGGAAGTACCCTTCCCCCCACTCACAGATTTCTCAAATGTGTTAACTTTGCAGGTTTCTCATAAAGTGTCAAACTAGAGGCAGTTTCCCTTTGTTTGCAATCAACAGGATTTGTCTTCTTGAAAGAGCATGTAAAAATGATAATTCTGTATTAGCAATTCCCACAAATCAGTCATGTAATGTTAGGTATGAAACAGGGTCATCTCCCCAGGTGTAAGAACACACAGTACTGTTCCAGGATCTAGTTTTGATCATAAATTCATTTGTTTTATTTAAATGAGTCTCACTAAAAGATATATGATGCTTCTAGGCTAATTTTGAGCCAGCTATCAAACAAAAGTTGGCTTCGTTTATACAGTGAAAGAAGACTGAAATAAACTGGAATTCAGTAGTTTTGCTACCTTTTCACCCTGCTGAGATTTAAACATTTTTTTAATTCTTTTAAGACAAGTACTGCATTTTAAAAATATCCCTGAAACTCCATCAAATAGGATTGTGTAACTTTATATTAATAAAAAAGTGATTTTCGGTACATTATGAATTGAGAAAGAAATATGCAATTTTACTGAACTGTTTTAAGGGGAATATTGAAACAATCCTAATATAAAAACAATAGCCCAGTGTGCTCCAGTATTCTGATGTGTGTGTGTGTGGGGTGCATGAAATCAAGCTGTATGCTAAAAGTGAACAAGACATCGACTTGCTGATCTACCTGACATGGACCTACAGTGAGGATACTGGGATGTCATTCAGACTGGAGAAGTGTGGCCAGATGGTGGTAAAGAGAGGGAAGGTAGTTAAGACTGATGGGGTGGAACTACCAGAAGGCCACAGAGCAGACATACAGACCAGCTACAAGTACCTTGGTATAATCACATGTGAACCATGAGGAGGAAGCAAGGAAGACAGCAACATCCAAGTACCACCAAAGGAAAGACAAGTCCTGAAGAGTCAGCTCAATGGGAAGAACAGATCCACATCATCAACATGTATGCCCTGCCAGTCATCAGATACCCTGCCGGTATAGTGAGCTGGTCAAAGGAGGACATGGAGGCTGCTGATGTGAAGACCCGGAAGCTCCTCTCAATGTACGGAGGTTTCCACCCCAAGTCCAACACCCAGAGATTGTACATCAACCGCAAAAAGCCAGTGTCCTGGATGAAACTCAGAGCATCCAGCAGTACATCAGTAAGATGGTACCCAAAGGTGAGCTGTTGAGAAAATCTGAGGCAGCAGCAGACATCGGAGGAAGTTCAAGCAGAGGAAGTCCCATGGCAAAAAAAGCCCCTGCATGGGATGTACCATCAACAGATAGCTTTGGTGGCTGACATTGGGAAATCCTGCCAGTGGCTGGAAAGGGCTGGATTAAAAGACAGCCCTGACTAATTGACCATAGCAGTGCAAGAACAGGCACTAAGCACCAGATCCATAGAAGCAGGGGTCTACCACACTAGACAGGAACCAAGGTGCAGACTGTACAGAGAGGCCTCAGAGACAGTCCAACACATAGTGGCATGGTGTGAGATGCAGGCAGGAACAGCATGCACTGAACAGCATGACTGTCAGGTTCAGCCCAAGAACAACAGCAAGACAGTCCAGAACAGTTTGGCTCCTTTATTAGCTTACACTTAATAGACAGAATCTCGCCAGACTAAATCTATACCACAACAAGTCACTATAACCATGAGGCCCTAGGGAGGGGCCAGTCTCATTCTCTTGGCTTTCCCACACTCCGGTTGGGGGCTGAGGAGGTGCTTCCCCTGGAATGTCTCTCCCCTCTCCTGGCA